GGATGGGACAGGGCTGAGGATTTCAAAGTATTTGAGGACAGAACCCAGGCACTGAGAGGGTCTTGCTTCTGAAAGAGCAGCTGCACCTCCCCTGGCCTATTGTTTGTCATAAAAATCAAGTTAAAATTATTAATGACCTCACACAATACTTTTTACTGCAACATGAAAGCTTCACCCTTTGGTATCCTCTTGTAAATGGTAAGTCTAAGATGCAGTCTGTCTGAGGATAAGTCCATTGTTGCCCCCAGAATCTATTCTCCACAAGGCAGCCAAAGTGATCTCTTAAAAATCTAAATCTGATCATGTCACTGCCCCACTTAAAAACTTTCTATCATTTCCCTTAGAATAAAATCTAAAACCAGCAGGCTTGTAACACTGAGCTCCTGTCTCCTTTAACTTCATCTCATACCCCTTTCTTCTCTGCTTATGATGTTCTAGCTTCCTTTTTGTTCTTTTTCTTTTCTTTCTAAAGATTTTTATTTATTTATTGAGAGAGATAATGATAGAGAGAGAGCATGAGAAGGGAGAGTCAGAGGGAGAAGCAGACTCCCTGCTGATCAGGGAGCCTGATGTGGGACTTGATCCCGGGACTCCAGGATCATGACCTGAGCCGAAGGCAGTCGCTTAAACAACTGAGCCACCCAGGCGCCCTGTTCTTTTTCTAACATACCAAAATTTTCCTACCTCACGGTCTTTGCACTACTGTTTTCTCTGTCTGCAAAGCTCTTCTCCTGGTTATTTGCATCTACAGTCCTCTCAACACTCAAACACAATCTTCAGAGGCCTGTATAATTCTTCTGCAGTAATTCTATCCACCTCCTATTCATATATCTCTACTTCCTTTGTAGCACTTATATGTTTTAGTTCATTGTCTGCATTCCCCATTCCCTTAAAAGGCAAACTTCCAGAAGACAGGGTCCAAGTCTCTCTGCTCACTACTGGATCCCCAGGATCTAGAATACAGAGTGCCTATTAAATAACTAAATGAATAAGAGTTCAAGATCACAAACAGATTTTTAGATACAGCATGCAACCAGCAGGGAAATGTGATCTTTAACACAAAGATCATTTTCTTAAGTTTTCACTTCACATCTCAAGTTTTGTCTTTATTCTGAGAGATCCAATGACCATGTTGATGACTCACCCAATAATCTCACCTTGAAGTTTCTGGACATCCTCCCCTAAATGTCAACATTTTAATTTTTGGTCCACTTCAATGACCTACTTCTGCTATTACAATCTCAACCTTCAATAGTCCATCAGGGATTTAAGCTTCTTGCCTTCCAGTTTTCTTACTTTCATTCCACCCATAGGCTCAGAGCATAGGAAGCCTCACTGGTAACTGAGTCTTGGGTTCAGGAAGGCAAGACACCAAATCAATGAGCAGAACACCTGCCCATGTCAAGAGTTAGGGATGCAAAGCAGAAATGCTCAGTGTGTCCAAACACAACCTGGATACCAGAACCCAGAGAGCTGAACCAGCAAGTTTAACCCAAATGGATACAGATATATGGGCAGGGAAGGTGCAGGACATCAAAATCAAGAGATTATCTTCAGGCATAGACAGGGACTGGAAGATTCAGATAAGGGGCCGGAGAGAATGCTTAGTGACTTCTCTTGCTCTTCCAAACCGCCGATGGACTCCTGAAATGGGTGGTTGGGACGGGGAGAGGGATTGCATTGGGGTTCTTCTTCGAAACCTAGAACTCTCTCTTATCAACTGACAATCTGGCTTCCGACTTCATCACCTCATCAAATCTGCTTCCTGCCAGTGATATTTTTCAATCTAATTCCAATTGGTAGTTTTTAGTCTTCATCTTACTGGGCCTCCTGGTTATAGTTGACATGGTTGATTTCCCCTTCATTCTCAGAATGCTCTGTTCTCTAGGCTTCCATGACACCACATTCCCTAATTCTCTCCTGATCACTCTGACTGCTTCCTGTCTATTTCCATCATGGGATCCTTACTCTCGCATCTGGTGCCTTCCAGTATCTGCCCTGTGTCTTCTTATTGTTTTATGTTACATATTCCCTACTGTGATCTGTGCCATTCTCATGCCTTCAACAAGCATGCAAATCCTGACGACTGCCAGATTCCTCTCTTGCACTGTTCTTTCATACCAGAGCTTCAGAAGTGTGTGTCCAATATGGAGATCTTTCCCTGATCCATCCCAGGCACCTCAAGCTCCTCATGTCCCAAACTGACTTCCTAATGTTTCCCTCCCAGTCTCCTTTCATTCCAGTAGTGCTTATTTTAGAGGGCAGTTCTATCGTTGACCCAGTCACTCAAACAAGAAATCTGGACGTCAAACTTGACTGGTTCCTCTCCCTTGCCATCTGTTGCTATCATTTCATTCATTCATTCACTCACTCCATTCATTCATTCAACAAACTATAATCAAGCCCTTCTATTTACCAGGTAGTGTTCTAATTGCAGGCTAAACAGTGGGTAAGTGAAATACATAATTCCTGTCTTCACGATGCATATAAACCACTGTCTGACTTTACCTCTAGAGTGTCTCTTTCCTCTGTCTCCCCTTATCTTTTATTCTTAGCAGTACTTGGCATATAATAGATTTATCTTTATCAAATGAATGAATGAATACATGAGAATGTAACTATCTGAACATCTGCTGTCTACATAACACAGATTAGGGCTCAGCATACTGATATCATTAACACGATTTCTAAGCACACGTTATGAATTAATAGACTCTAAAACATCTGGCCAATTTAGTTGGAAACCACCCCACCCCCCAGTGAAGCATTAGTATGTTTTATTTGTGTTATGCAAACACTCAGATGGTCTGGACTGTCTGTGGAACTGACTGGGTGTCTGGCAGAGCGTGGGCTTACCTAGATCACTCCTGATTTCTTCCAGGTGCACATCCTATCTCTGAATCACACACATGACTCACTGACTTCTAGAGCTAAGCCTAAGTACAAGCTCTGAGAGCTTGTGGGCATTTCCATCGATTCAGTCATTTCCACTTGGTTATTTATGAATATCAATACACATTCACTGGCTTGTAGGTCTGATGGCATTAAAATGAATTGAGATTATGCATGTTGAACATGGCGCAGATGGGTGGTATCCAGGTAAAACTCAGGCATCACAAGAAATGGTTAAACACCAAGATTAATAGTCTTTGATAATGATATATCATCCCAACTACTTCATGACACCAGAAAATATCTTTAGGAAATCAGCAAAGAAAATATTTCCACTCGCCCTATACAATTTTGCCAGATGGCTCAATCATGAAATAAAACCAAGCATCTCCACCTCTCTCTTCTTGGTTCTAAACTATTAGTGGCAAGGTTGGGTACAACTGAGGTGAGAACAATTAGGAATTTTCCCAATTTCTACAATGACCTTAAATAGGAAAGTTTTCAAATGGAAAGACCAAAAAGGAGAAACAGAAACACTAAAACAAAGAGAGAATTTTATGCAGTTACTGAGGTACCCAGGGTGAGGCACGCATCTCCTCTCAATAACCGGCATTCAGGCTCAAGCTAACAACAGGCAGAGGGAGCCGGGAGGACACTGTCAGTTGGCCATGCATCCACTGCAGCAAATGTACAAGACTGTTATTTTATGTAACATCAAACTGTACCATGCATACCAATCCAAGGATGGAAAAAAGTAGACACTGAAATCAGTGATGACTTGTGTGGACATATAATCTGGGGGCAAATTAAACACTCACAAAAGACAAGTGAAGACCTAACGGTAAAATTCTTACAAGGCATGTGGGCTTAGCTGGACCTACATCCTTCCCCATTGGAATCTGATTCATGGATTGTTCCATAGCTTCTTCACAAAGAACTGGAAAGAAACAGGTTAACCTGGTTTGGGGCACCCCACATCCATCTTTCAAGTGCAGAATAAAGAGGGAAGGCTTTCACCATTTTAACCTGCTCCATTTTTAAATGACTTTAAGCAGATAGATTTTCTTATCTGCAAGTTAATGAGAAAAGTTCAGGTCCACGGATGAGGACAATTACCCATTTATGTCCTCATAAAGCTACAACACTCTTCACACTGCTTTCAGCTTTTGCTTGGCTCAGGAGCCTGTCGGAAACTGATTCTAAGTCTTATATACTGACTTCTGTTTGTTTCTTTAAAAAGGTATGTTGGAATTACACCATGAATTTACATGAATTCGACTATCTGTACTTGGCCTAAAGGATTAAAAGTAAACTCCTAGGAGAGCAGGTGATTTTGCCTGTGCTCTGGACAAGTACACTGGGGACAAGAGCATCTCTGAATCCCTCTGGTTCTCTCCCTGATCAGCCTCACTTCTCCAGTATATCTCGGAGTCGGAGCATCTCATTGGATTCAGAGTGATTCTGGGATTTGGAAAAAATAATTTTTTAAAATAATTTGATTATTGGTGATTTATATCTATGTACTGACTCTGTAGCCCTATCCCTCATTTAAGATGCAAATTCACACTAAATAGGAATAGGACTATGTGGGTGGCTTTGAAATTGCAGGCTCCTCCTAAAGCGCTCATACTCACCCTTGGCCTCACTCGGTGCTGCTTTTATATTCCCAGATCAACAGTGCCCTCCTGATTTTAAATTTCAGAGGGCAACTCAGAACTCCTGGCCTGCCAGCTCCCTAAGAAATGACACTCTCATGGACTTCTATCTTCTACTTTTGTTGCTAGTTTAGTCATGTCAGGTTCTCCAACATGAGTAATTTTGCGGGCGGGGGGAGGGAGGGGATTATAATCCACCTTCACATGATGTTTATTTTCAGCTAGATCAAAAAAAAGAGAGAGGGTGTTGGGAACCCTCTGATATTTCTGGTATTTCCTGAAATTGCATACATAGGTTAAATCTGTCCTGAGGAGAGATGTTTAATCATTTGCAATTATGGTGCTCTGCAGAGAAAAGGTTAAAGATGAATCGGTTTTCTCTGAGGAGTCTGGGCTGGGGGTGCACTCGAGCATGCATTCTTGGCTAACCAGAAGAAGGAAGCCAGGACTTACGTTCTGTTTCCCCACTATGTTATCAAAGGGCAGTTCGGGGCTCCAGGATCCTTCTGTGAATGTCGCCCCACTGTTTCTCCCGTCTGAGGAGCTCACGGATTCCTTGACAATGTCTTCGGGCAACGACAGCAGACTCTCCTCAGGCTGCTTAATCAAATAGGTCTCTATATTATGCTTCCTCAAGAATTCGTTTCTCTCTTTACCATGACCCTCTTCTACGTTATAGTCACCGTTGAGGCAGTCCAGCGTGGCTTTGGAAATGTGAATCCTCCTGTGGGCACAAAGCATAGGTCATTATACACTCCCAAGGTGGCCTGCAAAAACCATTGCTGTTTGCCGTCCTGTGCAAAGCCAACATCAGGGCTACACACGGGTACCGTGAAGACATATTTTCAAGGACAATACGCGCTCCCCTGAAAAAGCAGAAAAAATAAAAGAAAACAGAAGTACAGATATAAATCAGTGAGCAGCGTATTGCTGACTTCACCCCAAGGGACATTGCAGCCTCATAAATTCCAGCCTTGCTGAGCCATATCTAAACACCTCTTTTGACTTTTCCTATGACTGTCAGCCTGATCCCAGCAACCTTCAAGAATCAGTGATATTTTTGGTATTGTTGACTGTATTGGAAAAACAAGTTCCATAAATGTTTCTGAACCCAAAAGTAATTATTGTCCAAATTACCATGCAACCACAGCAGTTCCCTTAGTGTCTTGGGACTTTTCTTTTCTCCTCATTTTAATTTTCATATATTTGTGCCTGGATTCTTCAACTTGTCTATAATCTTCTTAAAAATAAAGGCAGGTCTTAGGAGTTCACAGGGCTGCATGGCGGGTCCTTTAGGAAAACTACTCTAAGATGCAATTTCTTCTAGAAGGTGTATATGGCAAGGAGCAGGGAACAGAGAAGTGAACACAGGTAGGCAGGTGGCTGGCTAGGCTCACTCACAAGGTAAGTGCTCATCCCTGCATCACCACTGCATCACAGCTCATGATCCAAATTGTTGTTTTTATATTTGTTTTAGCAAAACAACAGATGACATCAAGAGCCTTAAGGATCAGACCTGAATTGTGGAAACTTCACATGGTAAATCCTTTGGGGAAGAGTTTTTCTGTTCTCTTAACTGTCTAATTCAATCAGATTACTTATTGTGTTGTATTGTGGTCTGGGTAGATTAGTATGGTGATGATGAGCATGGACTGTTTGGCCAGATTGCCTGGATTGAAATCCTAGCGTTACCACTTGCTAGCTGAGAGATCTTGGGCAAACTACTTAAACTTTCAGTAAGTCTGTTTTCTTACGTTAAATATGGGAAAATAAAAGTACCCATCTCCTAAGGTCATTGTATTCCAAAGCTGATTTGTGTAAAGACAGTGTGCACGGTACACTGAACATACTATAAAAGCACATGCTTAAATTATTAGCAATATTCTCAAAAATGCCACTGTGATAATACTGTTGTCTATTCCATGCCTCCACAAGGCTTACAGGATACAACCTAAGCTCTGAAGAAGGCTTCTGAGCCCCGCTTTTCTGGGCTCTACCACTTTAAAACTCATTCTCTGGGGGCGCCTGAGTGGCTCAGTCGTTAAGCGTCTGCCTTCGGCTCAGGTCATGATCCCAGGCTCCTGGGATCGAGCCCCGCATCGGGCTCCTGCTTGGCGGGAAGCCTGCTTCTCCCTCTCCCACTCCCCCTGCTTGTGTTCCCTCTCTCGCTATGTCTCTCTCTGTCAAATAAATAAATAAAATCTTAAAAAAAAAAAGAAAATATAAAACTTAAAAAAAATAAAACTCATTCTCTGACACTGCTCCCCTCCTGTACCCTATGCTTTCTGCAGCTAATCAAGTAATTGGCATTTCTTTAAAGCCAAGGTACCATTTCATGCCTATTAAACTCAGAACAAGCCATGCTCTTTGCCTGGAATGCTCACCCCATGTTTTCTACAGGACAATTTCTTACTCCCCAGTTCAGCTCAAAAGTCATCTTCCTTGGGCTGACTTTACCGCTCTTCTGAATGAATGAATGGATGAATAAGGGAGATGCTTAGTATTTTGCTTGGCTTTTGCAATTGTAGAAAAAATATATCCAAAGAAGGAAACAATAAAATTTTTTAAAAAGGAGCATTTCCAAATGAATTGTACTTTTAGTACTATCTCTACTTCCCCATTACCCTTTTTACCCATCCTGCTAAGCTCCTGCTTATGGAGAATAACTCACTGCAAAGGACACAGAAAGAAACAGAAACTAAAAAAAAAGGAATTCCTGATCATTTAAGATACATTCTCCATGTTTTCCAAACAAGTATGATCATACATAGTCATCGATTTCAAAAGCAAGACAAGATATTAAAAATAAAAGCATGTGATTGAGCTTTCTTGAGAAATGTGAGAACTGTGTGTAAGTGCAAATTATTCTCATGATGAATTTTGTTATACCTGGGAACTCAATCATGTTAACCTAGAGAAATACAAAAGTCATTGACCTTCTATGAAATGGATACGCCAGTCTTCTTTCTTAGATCAAGTCCAGAGCTAGGGTCTAGAAAACTGTCTTTTTCTCCCAGGCAAAACAAAACTCTTGGAAGGGTTTTGTTAAGTCCGATGGTTGATTTTAAATAAGTTAAGTATCAACCTCATCTGATATTTTATATGGATTCTACATTTTATTATTCTGCTGTCAGTGCTCAGGCAGACTAATATTTACATATACTAAATCAATACTATGTTTTCCACGGTGGAAGACATCCTCACTTTCATTTATTGCTGATTGTTCTGCTGAAGTTCTAATCAATATACACTTAAATGTTTTGATAGAAACTGGGCTTCAGATATTCATTTTCATCCTTGCTAGTGCCTTGAGCTTCGGAGTGAGGCATTTGCAGATGACAGTGTGGTAATTACATTTCCGCCTAAAGAAATGAATCCAGCCTCAGACAATATTCTCATATATGGAATTTTGGGTCAACATTTTCTGGTAATTTCAAATGCCAGCATATAATAATAACAGTTATGATAGTAAATAAGATGTAACAGTTGGGTGACACTTATTTTGCATAGATGTTATTTTGTAGCCAAAGGTATTACTAGATGCTTGGCTCTGTGGATCATCTCATATAATTTCCATTCTTCCCAGCCACTTTCGGGGACAGGCATTTCTTCACCTCCTTTTGCAGATGGTGAGATTGGCCCAGAGATAATGAGTAAGTAACTGGCCTGAGGTTCTATCAGTGGAAGATGACGGTGCAGGATTGAGACAAGGACTTGCATTTTCAGAGTCTTTTCAAGACCCTACACTGTATCATATGGCCGCCATGACAGCCGTGACCACAGTGAATATGTCCTGAGCACAGGACAAGGGACTTTATATGCATTATATCATTTAACAGAAGCTCAGGAACAGTGGTCCACAAAGTGTGGTACCAAGGCCAGCAGCATCAATATCACCTGTGACCTTGTTAGGAAGGCCTATTCTTAGATCTCTCCAGATATATGGATCAGAAACCCCAAGGGTGGGGCCCAGCTACCTATGGGTTAACAAGCCCTCAGGTGATTCAGATGCATGCCAAAATTTGAGAATCCCTGCTTGTTTGGGAACACATGGCCGGTGTCCATGGCAGAGAAAGGATTTTCATCCAATTCTGCATGACCTCAGGGTCAGGGTACTAACCACTATGCCATGGAGTTGTACACCTCTCTCTTCTTCTATTCTATGCATCGTGCTAGCCTCTGGGGATACAGTGGAGGCCCGGACAGTCACAATAAGAAGACAGTCATGAGCAAGTTAGATACATTAGAGAGTATAGTGATTTAGCAGTGATGCATAGTGAGGCACTTACAAGCTGTTTTTATGTGACATCTTTAATATCTTTGAGCCTCAGTTTCCTTATGAACACAAGAAACCTAAGACTGGTACACCTGCTTTCAGTACTCTTTGCTTTACTGCGCTTTGCAGATATTTCATCTTTTGCCAGTTGAAGGTCTGGGGCAACCCTGCATTGAGCAAATTTATCAGCGTCATTTCTCCAACAGCATCTCCTCACATCGGTTCTCTGTGTCACATTTCGATAATTCTCACGATATTTCAACCAGTTTCATTATTACTGGATTTGTGATGCTCATCTGTGATCAGTAATTAGGACTTGCTGAAAGCTCAGATGATGGTTGACATTTTTTAGTGCACATTGTTTCTTAAAACATAATGGTACTGCACACTTAAGAGACTACAGTAGAGTGTAAACATAGCTGTGATAGGCTCTAGAAAACCAAAATATTCATTTGACTCGTTTTATTGCAATTTGCACTTTATTGTGGAGGGTCTGGAACTGAACCTACAATATCTCTAAGGTATGTCTGTATTTACTATGTGGAGTGTCATAAGATCAAACGATGTAACATATTGATGGTGGTTAGCTGACTTGTGAGTGTGTGGTAGGTACTCAATACATGTTTGGAATTGGGGGCTAATTCTCACTGAAAGGAAAAGTAAGCTGAGTTTATTCCTATATGTCTTGATGGACAGGAAAAGGAAGTAGACATTTAAAAAGCAAATAAAACCCAACAATTTCAAACCATGGAGGATTTGGAGACACGTCTTGGTTTTACTACATTTCTGCAAATGGGCAACATCCTACGCCTCAGCAGACCTGCATAATGTACAGAAGACTAAATACTATCTTATTGGAAGCCAAGTTCTTGAGATCGAAAGCATTCTCAGCCCAACTTTACGGTGAAGAAACCAGGCAGGAAGATTCAGCAACTTGCCCCAGCCTCTATAACTGGTAAGTAGTAAATCCACCATTCAAATACATCATCAGATTTAAACTCAGTCACTCCTGTGTTTCTTGGTGTGACTGAGAACATTAGTTCAACTGGCCTCCAGAAGACCAAAAATTATGTCACATACCCACAAAGCTGTGTTCTGAGGTTTGCAAAGGGAATTTACCAAGCATACGGCAACTCTTCATGCAGCTACGCTTTTAAGACATATACATAGATGGGATTAGCTGTCTGGTTTGTTTGAATCCAGCAGGTAGTTATTGTAGGAAAATCCCAGAGAATGTAAGGATTTGAGAAACCCAGTGGTGACATGTTAGGCTTATCTTAGTTCCAAGCCTGCATGGCAAGGAGTGGTGACCATTAAAGACAGTGAGGGCTCCCTTAAAAGGGTGGACATCACTGCATGGTTTACAAAGCGCTTCACACCCACTGCCCGACATAGCCTCAGACAAAATCTGTGAGGTGGACTGTGCCCATTTGGCAGATGAGAAAACAAACCCTCATGGAGAAGGGACATAAAATCACAAGGTACCATATCAGTATTATCATCTCTCTTTTTATAGTGAGACTCAGAGAAGTTAAGTATTGGCCTCAGATCATGCAGACATAGCAACTAAAGCCAAGTCTGTGCTAAAATCACATGCCAGGTGCTATGTGTGTTTTACATGACTTGCTAAGGTAACAGAGCTTAGTACGGGGCAGAGTGGAAATCCTAGTTTCTCTGATATCACCTCCTACGGTTTATTTCCCATGATACTGTATTACCTGATATTAAATATAATTAACAAGGAATGATGGCAGACACCAGACAACTCTGACTCCAAAGGTAGGGTTGGGGATGAGGCGTAGGGAAAGGAGTATGTGTACACGTTCTGTCTATCTAAGCTTTCTGTCTCCCTCTTGGTCTATCTATCTATCTATCATCTATCTGTCTATCATCTATCATCTATCATCTAATATTTATCATCTGTTAGAGAGAAGTATGTGCAAGAACTCAGTACAACTTACTGGTTCACATATATCCAAAATCTTATTAGGCCCAATCTGCATAAGCAGAATCTCACTACTACTTTTCAGGGTTCAGTGAACCCTTCCAGGCCACTAGTACCACTGGGGATTCTATACCCACTGGTCTTGCCAGCCAAATTCAGAGAGCTGAGTTTTCAAGGTAGGTAAGGTCATATAGAAGGTCAGGAGGTCTTACCCCTGACTGCCCATGAGAATTGCTTTAAGAAGTCATAGACTCTGCACAGATTCTGCTTTATATGTACTGACATGGGTCTGGACACCAGTGGTTTTAAAATGTTCCTCTGTTGATTCGAATGGGAGTCCAGTCTGGAAACCAATGTTTTGCAGGGCTGGGTCTTGAACACCTGCCTGCCATCCCACCATCTTCACTGCCTGTGATGAATTTCACTAGACTTTTGAGGCCAATATTTGTATGACGTTTTAATGTCCTGTCTCCTCCTAAACACTGCTTCTTATAGATCAATACCTCTGAATTCTGCACAAAGGAAACCAACTGTCACAAAGTGAGCAAAACGACGAGGGTTAAACAAGAAGACGGCTTTGCTTTGACTTACCCAGGGATTCCTCCAGACTCGAGTTTGTTTGCAATGTCCACATCCCAGGACCAGACATCAAACTGCCACTTCCGCAGGCCCAACACCCCACACAGCACTGAGCCCGAGTGGATTCCAATCCGCATGTCCACATCATGCTTCGTCCTTGACCTCACATACCTGTTGACATAGGTGAAATGGAGACACATGCATAAGGCCAGAGTGGACACTCCTGGCTTTGGTGGCAGCCCAGTTCTTCTCAACTCCATAAGTTCAACTCCTGCCTGTTCATATGCCACCTCTTCCATGAAGCCTTCTTAGATTTTTCTGGTAACAGGAAGGAATTTCTTGCTCCCCTGAGCTCCCCTACCCTTCTACCTGAAATTTTAAGTGTCCTTATCACCCTTCTCCCCAAACCTGCTCATGCTATACAACCTGTCTCAGAGAATGGCATCAACATCTTTCTCTGTCCGCTAGTGCATAAACCTGGGATTGACTATAGATTCTGCCCTCCATGGCATACTCCATTTCCAAGACAAGTATTTTCATTTTCATTCTGTTTCCTTCTCTCTCCATCAACACTCCAGTTCAGCAGGTTTCAGTCTGGGGGCCCTGCTCCAGGCTGAACTTCTTCCAGCCCATGTTCTGCCAGGCTATCACAAACACAAATGTGACCTCGTCACTCCATCACTCCCTCATTGAAGACTCTTTGCTGACCTCCTACCCCGAGAGCAGTGGACTCCAGAGCAGAGTGCTCGCGTCCCAGGGCTGAGCAGGTTCGTCCATGGCATGTAGGAAGAAAATGTTAAAACCTCCATTTATAGCTCTTTAAAAATCTTTACCCAAATTTGATATATGGGTTGCCCTCATTGACTTCACAGGGTCCATGCCAGATTGTAAGCATGGAGGAAGCTTCTTGAAGAAAGAAAGGACTTCTACTGTTGGAAGGTTTCTGCAGGCACCCACATCCCTTCTTCACTTTCAGAGCAGTTCAAACAATTTTAGTTTGAGTTAAATGATGTTGTTTTCATAGAAAGAAATTCAAATGGCAGAACATAATACAGTCAACCCTTGAAATCATGCGTGGAGATTCAAGCCTTGTCAATAGTTGGGCTTAAAAACATGACCCCTCTCCCCCAGGCTTTATTTGAAAGAATAAATGAATGAATGATTCCATGTACAAAATGCAAATCTCTGTCTTCACTGTTCCTCACAAGTGGTAAGATAATACAAAGTTATTTAAATAAGAAAGCAAAATTGCAGTGGGTTGAAAATATAGAAATATTGAAATAAATCAGATACTAGGAAGGCAGTCATGGGAGAATGTCTATGGCTAAAGAAAGAATTCTTGTCCCTGGTGAAGATTCTAGTTTCTGGGCCAATGTTTTAACTTTTATGTTAAAATTATATAGTACCCTTCATCCACTAATGAAGCAAATAGTAGAAGCCATGTGGAAAAATTTTTTTTTTAATCACCATTCCTCTTCTATTCAATGTGGAAAATTTTAACAAGGCAAGAGGAGAAATAGCATCCAGCAGCTGAGAGGAACATTTCAGCTCTGACACAGACACCCAGTGAATGTGTGTGGGGCAGGTCGCTGGGAGAGGTCATCTCTGTTGTCAGCTGGCTGGGTCAAGTACTACAATACCAAGCACGTGGCAAGGTTGCACTCTCCTGTATATTTCATGTTGTCTTGGCCAATAAAATGTGAACAAAGTGACATGTATGATTTGCTTCTGGGCAGAAGCTTTAAGAGCCTGAAAAATCACACACTCTCTCTCTCTTTCTCCCCCTTCCTTCTGTGTCAATTGTCACTCAAGGACACTTGGGAGAGAGTTTGAAATTGGGGTTCTTGAATGAGGACGATGTCTAGTGGTACCTTGCCACTCCCCCCAAACCTATCATAGGGTTGGGACAGGAAATATGAGTGAAAAATAACTCTTTTCTGTTTTTTTTTATTATTATTATTCATGAGAGTCAGAGAGAGAGAACGAGAGAGAGAGAGAGAGAGAGGCAGAGGCAGAGGCAGAGGGAGAAGCAGGCTCCCCGCCTAGCAGGGAGCCTGATGTGGGACTCTATCCCAGGACCCTGGGATCATGACCTGAGCCAAAGGCAGACGCTTAACCATCTGAGCCACCCAGGCGCCCCACTCTTTTCTGTTTTAAGCCACTGAGATTTGGGAGGATGTTTGTTACTTCAGCATAACCAGGACCATGCTGACTGGTACAATCATCAGTCCCAATCTACCTTCTTCCCATTACCCCTACAGTGTAGGGCTTAATATGGACTCTAGTGCCAGACTACCCGAGTGTACATCTTGCTCTGCCACTTCCTAGCTCTATGACCTTCAGCAAATTACTTAACTTCCATCTATAAAATGCAAATAATAATAGCACTGTCAGGATTAAGTGAACAGATGAACGGAGAGTTGAGAAAGCGTCTGGCAGAGGCGAAGGATGACTTGGTTGCTCATCACATCTGAAGGAACTGCAGCCGAGAAGTAAAAGGAAGTAAAAGCTTGTGGTCACATAGCTGGCAAGCAGGATTCTAGGACCAAACTGGGATTGTGTGTCTTTACCCCTCACCCTCTTTGTAACATAGGTACTGTCTATGGCATGGGATCTTGGGCAAATAGCTTGGTCTGACCCTGAGTTTCAAGAGCTGTAAAATAAAGCTCTCGCAGATTGCCTCACTCATGGAGCCTTTGTGAGTCCCAAAGGAGGTAATGGATGTTAAGATGCTTTGCCAACTAATTGTGAGAGACTATTGAATAGCACACTGTGCTCATGCCATGAGATAATTAACACGATACAGGGAATGCACTGGAACCTCTTAATGAAAAGGCATTTAGATTTTTTATTTTCTTCTGCAAAACAAAAATCATAATAAGACAAAATTTCCTTATTGCACTGTTTTTTTTTTCCTTCTTTCTGTTATGTCTGGGATTTGACTTAAATGAAAGATAGGAATAAACAGTGTAAAAGTAATGAATAATTTACAGGTATTGATCCTCCTTGGAAAGGCGACCCGATGGTTGTACAGAACTGCAAACACACACCATGCGTTTCAAGATCAGCTCTGGAGGGGAGGACCTGTGAGCATCCTTGAAGCTAAAATGAAGGAATTCTGCTCTGCGTTACAAGTCTTGTTCACTTCTTCCAAGGCAGAGCCCTAGGGATGCTTTGCTGTGCCTCATCAGCCACAAATAAAGAGAATATGACTAGAGATCACTTGCATTCTACATATGTGTACTCTCTCTTTCCTCTCCACAAACTCTGAGCCTCTGGAGGACAGGGGTACTTACTATCTTTTATTTCCACATGCCCAGACCGTAGCACAATGCTGAGCGCGTAGGTATAGTCAGCGCTCAAAAGTATTTACTGAGTTAATGGACAAAGCTCAAAGGCTTTCTTGCTCTATGGCTCCATGTTGTCCCAGGACGCTTCTAAGAGTCCCAGGAAACCACAGAGGTGTCTTTGAACCTTCCGCATCTTCCCCCTTCAAATAAGGCAGCTTTGCTCTCATCTGTTTCTCATGGCAGGCTTCCATCTAAGATTTCTTTTAAGTAAAGAAAGCATTAATTATTATTAGTTTTTGCAGTTGTATTTCAAGCTGGGGACCAATAATACAACAATCAACTTGCAAAAAAATTGAAGATGTTATTTCTTTTATTTGAACCATTAAAGAGGAGAGTGCTTGATAAATGGTAAAACATGAAAACCCTGAGAATTTTTCTCTTGATTTCAATGCTTCAAAATTTTTTTTTAGCCAATTAATCAATCTGTAGAAGGTGCTGGAGGAATGATAGAAAGCATAATCTAGTAGCCATCACTGATCTGTAAATCAGACTCTCTCTACTGTTAAATGAATGGATGAATAAAAAGACCAACTTCAGTGGTGCCTTGGTGGCTCAGCCGGTTAAGTGTCCGACTCTTGATTTCGGCTCAGATCATGATCTCAGGGTCGTGAGATCAAGCCCTCTGTGGGGCTCCCCGCTGAGTGTGGAACCTCCTTAAAATTCTCTCTCATCCTCTCCCTCTGTCCAACTCCCCTCACGCCCCTCCCTCCTCCTGTGCTGTCTCTCTCTCTCTCTTAAAAAAAAAAAAAAAGAGACCAACTTTAGCACTGGAACAGTTGGTACTGTGGGAGGAAGGATACCCAACTCCTCAGCTTTGGGGGCAGAAACCGGAGTTCCAGTGTTGGCTCTATCCCTTGCTGGCTGTGGGAGCTAGAACAAACACATATATTCATTCCCCCATCTCCTCTGTCAGTGGGAATGGTATCAGCTCCTCAATGCAAATCACTCTCAACACCACCAAGGGGCAGAGTGTGCATTGAAGCAAACCAGGATGTGAAGTTAGGTTCCCCCACTTCCTGGCCCGTGGGCTGCGTGCATTAGGTTCCAAGTCCTGCTCTTTAAGGTACAATGGGAAAGAGAACGGGTCCTTTGCAGAACTGTTAGGATGCTTTATAAACTCATGTATATAAAGCACTTAACCTGGTGTATGTGAACATGCAAAAATAATAACAAATACTATTTTTTGTTAGTAATAACAACTTACAACTACACATGTTGAATTGGATAAAAAAATTATAAATTGATCACACAAACTTTTCCTGCTTAAACTGTGCCTGCAATCACTCTATTTGCAACCAAACCCATTTCATACACCTGGTAGGCAGTTCCTAGGCATAAATTGGCTCCAAAAGGAAGAACTAATTTATAATTTAATAAAAACTTGGGTCGTCCTCAGCTACCTGGAAGAAACAGTGCCCTTGAACATTCTGGAAAAAAGGAAAGGTGAGAGAGTTAGTTATGGAGGTCATCTACGATCACTGTGTCACACCTTATCTTTACAATGACCCTGTGTATTATTATCATCCACACCATTTTCCAAATGAGGAAACTGAGTCTCAAGCAGTTCCTTTCTTTAGGTCACACAGCTGCAGGTGAAACAGCTGGAATTTCAACCCAGATGTATGAGTCTAAACCCAAGAAGCCATGCTCAAGGGTATATGGACCACTGGGGTCTGATCTGGCTCTGCCCAATAGGCCGATGACAGTCTCTACCAATTAATTCCAAAGGCATCAGACTTCTTAAAATGTTCGAAAGCCACCATGTCTTATCCTAGCATAGAAGTTGCAATTTCACAAAGTGCTTCCTTTTGATGCCTACAG